GGACCCTGAAGACATTTGGATGCCATTTCCAACCTTTGGTTATGGGAGGGATCTTTCTAGAATCCTCTGAGTCCATTGCATCAGGACCACCGGTGTTTGTTAGCTCCCCACTGGGCAGGTGCAGCGATACCATTGGCGGCGGGCGAGTTTGTCGCGTGATGCGGGCGAGATGTAAGGAGGGAAGGGCTGGCCGTGTGATCTCCCGCAGGACACTCAGGCTCCCTGGCCTCAGCTTCCCCATCCGAGAAACGGGGGTAACGCACCTTCCTAGCAGGTATGCTGTGCATATTTAATAGAACAACTGATTCACCTGACCCTTCCTGTCCCTGACCCCGCAATGTCTGTAGCCGTCGCTAGGACGGATGCTTCCGACGGACTGGCCACCAGTCAAATGCATCTGTCAAATATTTCTCTTCCACATGTGTTAGCATGTGGCCTCTGATTTCAAAAAACCCAGCCTCACGGGCCCCCGGAACCCAGCGCAGGTACCATATGTTTCCCCGGAATAGTAAGCGGTAAAAATACACCGTTTAAAATAGAGGCTGGTTCCCAATTTGGTAGAGCAATCTGCCAGCTCCGCCTGACGTGATGCTAATTGATTTGTTTTCTTTGCTCCAATAATTCCTTCCTGTCAGCACTTTCTTCTTCCCCATCTTTCCTGGCCTACTCTTCCGACTCTGCAGCCGAAATTAGCCCCAATCCAGATTGCTGGGCCCCCCGCAGCCCTTCCTTGGTCTTTGTTTCTTCTCGTTGCCACTGGCAGTGCCCTGGGCTTAACAGAGGGTGTGGGCAGGGCAGGAACAGGCTGTGTGGAGAGGGGCCCTCACTCTCAGTGTGAATAACCCAACACCCGTTCACTGGGATCGCAGCACCTTCTGGGCTCCAGGCCCAGAGCTCCAGGCTGGGGATATGGCCATGAGGAAGACATGGGCAGTGCCAGGCTGCCAGCCTCCAGCCCAAAGGGGAGGCAGACCTGTCACAATAACACCAGAGCACAAGATTCTGGGAGGAGGGCAGGGGAAGGAGTGGCATGCCTCTGCATCATAGAGGGCTTCCTGGAGGAGGTGATCTTCGCAATGAGCCTTGGAGAACAAGGTGCTCCACCAGCAGATAACAAAGGAAGGGTATCCCTTCACTGAAACAGGCTGAACTCATGCGACAGCCCCTGCAAAGAGGGACATGAAAAATGAATGAGAAACATTCAGGGTTGTCAAAGTTTTCCAGAATTTTGTATTCAGAAAGTGTGAAAGAAACTGTTTTGATCTTATCACACATGTACTTTGCGTCATTTCGAAATTGAAGTTTGACCCTGAGTTGCCAATGGCAGGTTGGGGTGTCTTGGTCCCACCGAGCATCCCACCCACTGAGGGGACAGGACACGCAGAGGTGGTTGGGATGCCAACGGTCCCCGCCAGCTGGGGAAACACAAGGAGCTTGATGTGGCTGACGCCAGGAGCCTGTGGGGTGGGGAGGTGAGGACGGAGGAGGGGCAGGGCAGGGCCCCCACCCTCAAGCCTGTGGTCCTGCCGTCCCTGCTGCCAGGAACGCCGCCACTCCTCAGGTCTGCCGGTCAGACGTCTGTCCCCCTGTAAGGCTCCTCTGGACGTCACCTCCTCTGGAAAGCCCTCCTACCGGGCTTTGCACCTGCCTGCACCTGGGTGCTATTTCCCCTCCTTTCTGCTCTCACAAGCCCTGTCACCCCGGATCCTGCTTGGGCTACATGGTTTTGTACTATGGAAGAATGAATGAATGGACGCACCTTCGCTAATGCGTGAAACTCTGAGTGGCGAAGAGGAATAAGTGAATGAGTTTTTCCAGTGAATTTTGCTCTCCAGGCTACTTACATATTCATAAGGACGCTTCCTCCCATAGGAGAAAAGCAAACACGCAATTCCCTGAGGAGTCCCACGCGGAGAGGCAGTGGTGCGCTCACTTGCTCCCGCGAGCACTCATTCATGCGTCGGTCGGGCGTGGGTTAACTGCCGCCTCCGTGTCGGGCCTGTGCTAGTGGCTTGAGGCACAGGGATGGCTACTGGGGATGGTGGGCAAACAGCGGCATGGGAAGAACATTTTGAAAACCACATCACAGGAAAAGCGCTTTAATGAGGGGAACGTAGGCTTTCCTGGCCTCGTGGCCCGGATGGAGCCGGGCGAGTGGGTCCTGCCCTCGGTGGCATGCGAGTGTAGAATGGATTCAAACGAGCCATGTGTAAGGCACCTGGGACCGACTCCATCTTTCCTGGTCATCCAGGGAATCCATGTGCAGTGGAGAACATTAGCGCGAGGATGGCAGGGCGTGTCCAGGGGCCACGGGGCCAGAGCTGGAGCAAGTCGAGCAACAGGATAGAACCGTATTGGATTACAGCTCAAAGCATAAAGTAAATATTCATGAGCTCATAGTGATGATATAAATAAATGACTGGGTAAGTAAATAACGGGGAAGAAGAGACAGACCCCCCTGCAGAGTTCCAAAGGATTTCTGTAGCTAGTCTACCCTCAGGGAGGGGCGCCCCCTCACTCCCTAGCTGGCCGAGCACGGTGGCTCCCTTCCGCAGAGGACCGTGTGGGGAGGAGGGGAGAGGGGTGGCGGGAAACCCTGACACACAGCCCTCGGCAGGTGGCTGCGCAGCACCGGCTGTGACAGTCCTGTGGATGGACAGCATGCACCCTTGGCAGGACGTGGTGGGAGACACACTGCTCCTCTGTGCTCGTCCTCCCAAGAGCCCACGACAAGGGAGGAGCTTCCTACGAACCCCCTGGCCAGTCCCCTCAGCACTGCCGAGGTCCTCAAACACCAGGAAAGTCTGGAAACTGTCACAGCCAAGAGGAGCGCGAGGAGGCGTGAGGACTAAATGCAATGTGGCGTCCTGGTGGGATTCTGGGACGGCAGAAGGAAAAACTGGTGAACCCTGAGCAAAGGGCCGTGTTCGGATAACACTAACGTGCTGATGTTGGTCTCGTAGTTGTGACAAATGCCCCACCCTGACGCAGGATGTTGACAACGGGAGACGGGCTGGTGGCGTATGGAAACTTGGGGCTCTCTTTGCAACATTTCTGTCCATCCGAAACTATTCTAAGATAAAACTTTCATTTAAAATAATCGTGGCCCTGTAATAACAAGGCTGATAGTCCCAAAGGAAGAGACCACCACCCCCCACTCCCCACTCCCCGTGAAACGTGGTGGGTGGGTCCCCTGTGGCGTGGCCCAGGGGAGGGAGGCCCCCAGGACACGGCTGAGACCACCTAGGAGGCAGGGAGGCCGGAGGGAGGCCAGTCCTGGGATGGGCTAAGGAGCTACTGTGGAGGTTGGAAGTCTCCCTGGGGCCACCAGGAGCCGCGAAGCGCTCGCAGGGTGTGTCCCCCTGTGGGGAGCAGTGTGAGGCTGAGGCATGGAGACCAGCGATCAGCCGTTCAGCCGACCACGGGCTGGTCCTGGTCCTGCCCTCCCCTCCATGCTGCGGGGGAACTTGAAGCCAGCGGCTCTGGGGCCCACCCAAACCGGCTGGCTGGCCCCAGCCGCTGACCCTCCCTGGGAAGTGCTCTGGGCTCCCCCTTTTCTCCACCCGTGGTGGGGACAGAGGCCTGCCCTGGTCCCACCCTGGGGTCCCTCTTCTGGCCTTTCTGTGAGACACAGGGAACCCCTCGCTGCCCTGTGCAGGGGTCCTGTGCGGACTCGGCCGGATGGGCGGGAAGCTGGAACGCGGGAACACGGTGGCAGCAGTGCGGGCTGGCCTCCAGGCCTGGCACGGCCACACCGCCACGGGTTCCCGGGTGTTGCTGGTGGAACACAGCCAGGCCCTGTGTGACTTCCCCGCAGGTGTCCTTTGAAGAAGCAGGTGTCGGGGGTCCTCTTTATGGTGCCTTGTCTGCCAATTTCAAAATAAAATGGTCTGGGGCCAACACCGAAGTGTCTGGGTCTCCTGTCATTTTAAACACAGGGACACGATGTCCTGAATCTGACCATGCCACCAAATCCAGCCTGGACCAGGCGGTGGCCTCATAAGTGACCCGCTCCTGTGCCGATGCTTTGTCTTCACCGGCACAAGCGGATGTTGTGAAAATCCAGCCAGGCCGCTCCCTCCCCACCTCGCGCCTGCCTGAGGCCTCCTTCCCACGGAACAAGACCCCATGTGGCAGAGCTGTCCCTGCGCTGTGTGCTTCGTGGCCGCCAAAGGCCCACACACTGGGGGCTGGAAACACAGAAATGTGTGCTCTCGCCATCTGGAGGGGGAGTCCAGGGTGTTGGCAGGGCTGGTTCCTTCTGGAGGCTTAGAGGGACAGCCTGCTCTGTGGCCATGTCCCTGTCCCTCCAGCCTCTGCCTTGCCTCTCTCTGTACCCTAGGGCCCCTCTTCTTGTAAGGATGCCGGTCACTGGCGCCAGGGCCCTCCCCCAATCCAGGATGGCCTCATCCTGAGACCCTTGGCTCCATCTCCAAAGACCCTACTTCAAGTAAGGTCACAGTGACCGGTACGGGGCTTGGATATTGACACATCTTTCGGGGGCACCATGGAATTCACAGCAGCCCCTCTGCAGCCTTGCAGACCTGACCCTCTCCAGCTCCATTGGCTCCACCCACTCGGTCCCCCCACGGGGCCCCGGCACCTGCCCCTGAGCTCCCAGATCAGCCCCGCCTGGCTCCACCTTCTCCTGTCCTGACGGCAGCCCTGCCGGCCACCCTCCCCTCATCGCCCTCCTCCCGGCCACCCTGGTCCTGCTGTGCCTCCTTCAGGCACAGGTCATCCCCGAAACAGTATCTCACACACGTTGCCACTCGTCCCGCTCCCCTGCAGACGGGCTCTCACATATGGCAGAGACTGCGAGCCTCGTGTTCACCGCGCCCGGGCATCAGGAAGAGCGTCCGCACCCACGTGCTCCAATGAGCGAATGAAGGACGTGGTTGGCGCTGAGCCGCGGGGGGGAGGTGACAGCCATTTCTGCTGCACGCTCTTCCCACGTGCGCAGGGCCCAGCTGAGCCTCGCGTCCCTGTCTGTGTTTCAGATCATCCTCCTGAGCTCTTCGCTCAGTGACCGCGACCAGAGCCTCTTCCTCAGCACGGACGAAGGCGCCACCTTCCAGAAGCAGCTTGTCCCCTTCTTTGTGGAGACCCTGACTTTCCACCCCAAGGAGGAGGACAAGGTCCTGGCCTACACCAAGGACAGCAAGGTGAGGAGGCCCCAGCGGCAGGTGCCCACTGGGCTGATATCAGGCGAAAGAGCCTCGTCCAAGCAGGTGGGACCCAGAGCCCCAGGGTGACCGCAGGGGGGCCCCGGGGCTGGGGGCCCTGGGTCCACGATGGCCCTGCAACGGCCCTGCTCCTCAAGGCCCGTGCCCGGTCATGTGTTGGCTGTCAGGAATTGCGCCCGCTTGGCTGTGTGGCTGTGGGAACTGGGGCAGCGGTGACAGGCGCACAGGGACAGGGCAGAGGAGCCCATCCTCCCAGAACATTCCGCACTCCCTTTCCGGGCCACGCCAGGACTTTCCCTCAGCCTGGAACACTCTTCCACCTTCCCCAGAACAGCGAGTTGTTCTTCAGATCCCAAAAGCATCCCCTCCTCCGGGAGCTGTGTCCCCCCAGGGTCCCCGCAGGAGACCGGGGCTCTGCCCCAGGGTGGGTGAGGAGTGAGGAATGGAGAGCTCGTGGCCAGGTGTGGGCAGCCCTGGGGCCAGCACGGGGCGGGAGGGAGCAGGGCCAGGCCAGGAGGAGGCACTGCCGCGGTGGCCTGCAGACGCAGTGACGAAAGACCACAGACGCACTGGCCTAGAATATCAGAGACTTGTTCTCTCACAGTTCTGGAGGCCGGAAGTCCAAATCAGTTTCACTGGGACAAAACCAAGGTGCCAGCAGGGCCACTTCCTCCAGGGCTACCGGGAAGAACCCACTTGCTTTCCAGTCCCAGCAGGTGCCACGTTCCTTGGCCCTTGGCTGCCTCACCCCACACTTCCAGGGCAGCATCTTCAAACCTCTCTCTGCTGCATCTTCATATTGGGGTATATGTGTGAGTGTGTGTGGGTGTGTGCATGTATGCATGCATGTGTGTGTACATGTGTGTGCCCATGTGTGTGCATGTATGTATATGTGTGTGTGTGCATGTATGAGAGAGAGAGGCATCTCCCTCTGCTCCTCCCTTTACAAGGGTCCAGGTACTTGTATTCAGGGCCCATCCAGATATTCCAGGAAAATCTTCCCATCTAAAGATCTTAACAGTCACACCTGCAGAGTCCTTTTTTGCCCTATAAGGTCGAGGCCGCAGGTTCTAGGCATTGGGGCATAGATATTTCTCAAGGGGCCCTCTTGAGCCTACTGCCTCTGCCCAGTACAAGGCAGGGGCTCCACAGTCCAGGGAAAGTCCAGTGGGAGGCCTGGCCCTGCTTAGAGCAACTGAGCCCCTGCCACACTGCAGCCGAAGAGCCAGGGGCCAGAGGAATCCCACCCAGCCTCTTTCTTCCTACCCCCAGTCTTCTGCTGGCCCTTCTACAGGTTGCCTCCAACCAGAAGCCTGAGGGAGTGAATCTGAGGGTTCATCCACACAGGTCCGGCCCCAGGACCAGAGAAGGTTGGGAAGGGCCAGCACGGACCCGCAGGGCAAGTGAGAGCGGTCCGGTCAGGAGCCCTCTCTGTGCCACCAGGCAGCTTGGGCCCCTGCTCCACACTCTTCTAGATCCATGTGCTCCTCCTTCCCGGCACTGATGACAACGTGTAACCATATGGTTCTGCTATTATCTGATTATTGTCTGCACCAGACGCACACTTGGGGTGAGCTCCTTTAGGGCAGGGACAGTGTCTGGTTATTTTCACCATTTTAATCTCAATTACCTGGCTGAAAATCTTGGTTGGAAAGAGAGCTTGAGAATGGATGGATGGATGGATGGATGGGGGATGGGAGGCTGGGTGGGGGGATGGATGGAAGGATGGATGGATGAATTAATGGAAGGATGGATGGATGGATGGCAGTTTGTTAGATGAATGCATGAACGAATGGTGAATCTACCGCTAGGAATCACCCAGATCAGGGACTTCCAAATGGAGATTCCAGGACTGAGCCACAGCCGTCAACAGGAGCTGGCCCCTTGCCGAGGTCTGGTCCTTGCTGATGCATCCCTGCGTCTGCCCAGCCTCGTGGGTGCCTCTTTGCTCCTGGCGCCTTCCTTGGGGACAACATGTGCTCCTGGGTATTAATAGCACTACTTAGCCTTCCATGTAATTAGACTAAAGCACAATCACGGAGACTTATTTTCTCACAGAAATCGACTGCATTGCAATTGCTCTTTAATTTATGGTGCCCTGAAAAATTAATGGAGCTGAAATCTTGGTTATTTGCCTTCGTTCTTTTCTGTGACTGTGAGGAAAGAAAAAGGGGAGAAAAAGGCTTAGTTGCAGTTGTAGAAGGAATGAGGAATTTGAGGAAATTAATAACAACGACAGCAGGGTTTTAGTTTTGGGGGATGTACGGTTTCCCAAAGCTCTCTAATTCCTGAGAAGCAGAGTGGTGCAGTGGAAAAACGCCAGCTTTGACTCCAATGAATCCAGGCATTAGGCAGGTGTCTGCTGCAGTAACACTGAATAACACACAGCCCCATAGCTCCAAGGCCCAAACAAGCATTGTCTCTTGTTCCTGGCTCTGCAGGGCCTGCTGGGGTCAGCTGGACATGATTCCCGGCTACCATGGGGTCAGGTTCCAGCATGACCCTCATTCTGGGAGCATGCTCTTCTCAGAACAGAGGTGGAGCAAACCACACAAGCAGCTTTCGCTTGTGGCGTTGACCTGGAGGACATCACGTGCACTCACGTGCCAAGCCTAGGGTGTCAACAGGGTGGGCACGAGTACACTGTTCACAGGGATTTACAGATTCCTAGGAAACCAAAGGCCTGCCTCCATTTCCGTCCCTTCCTCCCTCCTCCCAGATGCCTGCCCCTGCCTCTAGCAAACAGACCCTCCCGCTAGCCTCCGACAACTCCGTTCTTCCTCATTTAGCTCCTTCCTTTGCTGTGTCACTATGATTTGGGGCACTGTGCAGCCACCTTGTTTGGAGCCTAGACACCTTCCTGGGCGCGAACCGAATAAGGTTTCTATTGAGGCTCAGCAAACTGCATCAGGCTCCTGAGAGCAGCAGGAGGAAGAGCCCAGCAGTCCCCTCGCGCCAGCTCCCTGGGCGCTGGCGTGAAACTGATCAGAGTGCGCCCCCTGTGCTCAGACCTCAGACCTCACTAGCTGTGCCCTGGGCACACGCTTCTAAGTCACAGACTCGCTTTTATATTTTATTTCATTTCATTTCATTTCATTTTACTCTACATCAAGAACCTCTTTTGCTTCCTAGCACTGTGAGAAATTGATCTGGGCCCAGGATTGCCATCCAGAGACTTAGCAGGGGAGGGAAGACATGTTGGGCTGAGAAATCAGGGAAGACTTCCTGGAGGAGGAGTGTTTCAACAGGGATTAAAGAGTGGGTCAGAATGTATGCTTACTTTTTAATAAAACTTCAGAGCAATAAACATGATCGCATAAGAAAAAAAGAAAAGAAAAAGAAACCTCACAGTCCTCTAGCCCTAAGTAAAACAGTATTCACTTTTATTTACGTCATAGAAAAGGTTAGAAGTGCTGTCATAGCAATGGGTGGGGGTGTGGGAAGGGTAAGAGGCCTCCTAAAATGGGTGAGTGGGGTGCAGACTGCAGGTTGGACGCTGCGAGTATCAGTGGGCACACGGCTGCCTACGGGGCTGTGAGCTTCAAACCATGTTTATAGCTCTCTCTGATCTCAGACTTCAGAACCAGGAAGAAATTGAGCTTCTGCCGAGTAATAGAACAATTGTGTGAGCAATGAGAATCTTTCGCCTCAGCACGTGTTCATTTTTGCTCTAAGCATTTGTATCTGCCAGGGCTCAGGGCAGGAACTCTGTGCCACTCTGGATATTTTAAGCAGAAAAGGGATTTTACAGGAAGGATTGGTGCTTTCCCAATTATTGGTAGAGCTGAGGAGGGGGTTTCAGGCTGGGCCCCCCAGGATGCCTCCCAGAAGCCTGCAGTGACGACCCGCCAGAGAGCGTCTACTTCCACCCGTCGGGGGGGCCCAGGAGCCCGCTGCACTTACTGGGGGCAGGAACACACGACTGGCGCAGCCGGTCACCACTGCCGCAGCCCCCACTGCCTGGCAGCGCCCACAAAGCCATGAGCGGGCACTGGATGCAGAGTCCAGCTCCATCGCTGCCCGGAGGGTGGGTACAGCAGCACGTCCTTGTGACCTTGCTGGCAGCACAAACGCGGGCAGGGAAAGGCCTCTGCCTCACTTTCACCTCCCAAAGCTGGCGTGAGTTTATCCACCTGACCAGAGCTCTAGCTGCAAGGGAATCTGAGTGATGTCCTTCCAGCTCTGCGGCACAAGCAGCGCGGTGGAGCGAGGGAGGAAGGAACACTGAGTGCCCGCAACCCTGTCCAACCGCCCCCAAAGCCCAGGGCAGGCTGACGCACCTCCGACGACGACCGTGTGAGAGTCACCAGCACGTGCTTCCGAGTGCCCCTCCCCAGACCTCACCCTGCCTCTCTACCTGCCTCTCCTGCCCCGTTCCGACTGCCGCTCCTTTTAGCTCTGTATCCACGGAGGGCTGTGTTCCGGCAGGCTGCATCCACTCCTTCCTGAGCACGCCAGAGGGGCAACTAAATTAACCCTTCCCAGGACATCTCCCTGTGGGAGGTTTAGCTGCAATAACTGGGATGTCCTTGATGTGTTTATTCTTGTTTATTTACTGGTGTTTATCTTTTATTAAGCAGAAATGTTCTATTTCTGCAGCAATTGATGGTGGGCAGTAAAATCACCTACCGTGAGAGCGAATTGGAAAGGCTTCATAAAGCTCCGGGCAGGCGTTGTAAACACAAGTGCGTCAGCAGCAATGACAGTGATAACGCCATCCATTAATGCGGGGGTTTTACTGCCTGGCTCCCAGACACTGATGGCTCTGACTCATTTTTTTTCACATATTGACTGAAGTAGAAGGGTCCCTGGTCTGGGTCACTCAGATGACCCAGAGAGAGGACTGGAGGTGACCAGTCATCCTTCTTGGGGTGGAGATGACTCTTCAGCCACTGATATAGAACTTGAGCGCAGGTCTATGAAGGCAGAATGCTGCTATAAGGGAATGCTGTGTGACCTTGAGTAACTAACTTAACCCC